AAACCTTAAGAAGATCCAGTTAGGATCAGTAGTTCTTGAGAAGACTTTGAACAGTTGTTCTTAGTGCTTACTATTGTAATCAGTTGATTAAATAGTGGATTAAGTCCTTGATTGAGAAAGGCAAATCACTCTAGGAAGGGTGGACTGGAGTAGTTGAGTTCAACGAACCAAGATAAAAATACTTGAGTTTTTATTTCTAAGTTTTTATCTTCATACTTATTCAACCCCCCTTCTAAGTATTTTCTCACCTTCAATTCATACCCAAAAAATTCAGAATTTAATCCATAAGTTTACATAATTGAAAAGTGTTTATTTTCAACATAAAATCACTTCTTAAAGGCATTTAGAACCATGAGTTAAGTCACCAAAAATTCAAGGAAAAAATGGTAGAAAAATCAAGGAAAAATCATTCAAATTCAAGTCAATTACTATTGACCACTTGCCTTACATTCTAACTTGGTACTTATGCTAAACTCCAACACCATTGGTCTCTAAATACCTTTAACTACCTATTTCTCCACAAACCATCCATTTACCTAATTACCCCTAACTTCTCTAACTAATAAACTAACACAAATCTCAATTTCCATTTTTTTATTCAATCTTAACCCTTCTTAACAATTAATCCTATGTTTGAAATTAGTGATCATCAACTAATGATTAAATTAATTTCTAACCATTGATAAAACCATTATTTGGATCAGAATTCAAGGGTGATTATTTATCTATCAAGTCTATATAAACATGTTATTTATCAAATTTTTGGGGCTAGCTAACATAACCAACCTAACTTAGAATTCAATTAAATCATTATTTTTCCACTATTTTTTTCCTTCTCTAATTCTCTCTTAATTCATCTTCTCTCTCACACTCACCAAAGTTCATCTTCATCACCATTTAGAACTTCACATCGAAGTTCTAAAATGGTGAAACTTAGCCACCATCCAACTTCAAAAAATTATCCATCAATAATTTCTACATTATCATCATCTAAAGCTTATCAAGTTTCATCAACAATCATCATTTAAAATTTATCAAGTTTCATCAACAATCATCATCCAAAGTTCATCAATTCATGCTTATTCATCAAGAATCATCGTCTATGTTCATCCATCATAAAAAATAATCATCAATTCTTGAAAGCTAATTCTTAAAGTTTTCCGTATTACACTTCGACACGTCAAATTTCAACATTAATCGGAGCAAACCTCCGCTCCATCGGTTATTCTTTATCATTTTCATATTCTTGCCATGAATTATTGGATGTTTGATGCTTGATTTAACTTAAGCTAGTGTTTTAATTTAGCTTATTAGATAATCACTTTTTTTTTTATCAAATACACAATTTTGAAAATAGTGATTTTTCAATTCTTAATTGTTAATTATTTGTGAATATATCATTAGATGCGATTTTTTATCATAATGCTGAATATGTGATTATTTTTTCGTTCTGACGCATATTTTAGCCAAACCGCCACTTTCATTGATCAAATTCTTCGTTTACTTTCTGCTTTATTCGATCTAATTCATAACTTGTTTCACAATTTACAATATATATTTAATTTCTTTTTAAAATTATGATATTAATAATATATTAATTCGTTTCCGTTAGCCATTTGGCGAAAGTTTGTTTGAAATTGATTTTTTTTTCTTAAAATATACCTGCTTTATAGTACTAAAAAATGCTTTTGTGCACTAAAGTATTACTCTAGGTTTCTAATAATATTATTACTACTATGTGTTATGTGTACTGGAGTATTATTACTATGTTTCTGCTAATACTTTATATTATTAATTTTATTTTATTATTTCTAATATGCATAAAAAGGAAACAATATTAGGTGAAAAGGTTAATACAATTAAAGTTTATTGTGCATGAGTTTATTTTAGTCACATAATTATTTAATGAGACAAATTAAATCATTTATTGAATTCAATAATTGAATGTAAGTGAACATGGATGCCGGTGCGGACAGGAGGCTTGACGGACCAATTGTTTGTAACTTTGTATACCCACCACACGTTTTACTTTTTCCTGAGACATATTTTAACTTATATCAATGTTGTCTGATATAATCATACCACATGTCTCACTCTCAACTTACATCCTACTACTATTGTTTTTCTTTCTTTATTCTCTTACACTTATTATTATATTATTAATTAGTAAAAAATTCGTGTTTTTGTACGGGTAAAATAAATTTATAAATATATATTTAATTTTGATAAATATATGTGTATCAGAGTTAAATGAAAGATAATGCAATTAAAGTGAAAGCAATATAAATTAAGAATATAGAAATTGAATATGAAACAACTAATATAACTAAATGAAATGGTAATGTTGTCAACAAATGAGTAAAGTAATAATATATAGTAAAAGAAAAATAGTACATCAAAATATCATCTAACCGGCGTTGCAAAATAATGTGTCTGTTAGAGTTGATATCACAATGTTGACCTGTTAAAAAAATTAATAAGAGAACAATTGGATCATTTATTGTAATGGAAAGCTTAACCAAAGAGAAGAGTATGATTGTTATACCTTCTAAATATTGTGGAAAACTTCTTTGAATACAACGTTAGTGGTAGTAGCAGCGGTATTGTTATTTTTATCATGAATCAAAATTTTAAGACCTTGTTTTGTCTTAACTAGGAACATTGCGACATACAACTGACCATGACTAAATACATCATTTGGCAGGTATAAACCAACTACGTCTAACGATTGACCTTGTGATTTGTTAATTGTCATAGCGAAAGAAACAATAATGGGAAATTGTCTTCTCACTAACTTAAATGGCCATGGTGATTGAGAGGGGGACAAAGACATTCTTGGAATATAAATTATGTTACTGATCAGTGGTTTTTACACGTGATTTTACCGTTTATTTCAGTTAATCATTTGTTTTGTCTTTCACATTTTAGTTGTTTTTATTACATTTTACGCGCCGATTTGGTATTTTCATTGTTTCTAGGTTCAGGTGAACAATAAAGGAGAAGCAGAGCAAAAACCGGGGAAAATGGCAAGATTTCGGAAGAGTTTTGTTGTGAACCAGCAGCCTGACACGGGTGCCCGTGTCTTGTGACACTGCCCGTGTAAGGGCTACTGAAAGTAAAATCTTTAGCAGTCTGCACGAAAACGATCATAATTGGAGTTCCGGGAATCCGTTTGAGGCGTTCTAAAAACCGTCAGAAAGCTAAGAGAGAGAGCTACAACTTTCGTGTTGGAGTCGAAGTCAGATTCGCAAGAGGGGAATGACATGGGTGCCCATATCGTGTGACACGACCCGTGTCAGGATGTACTCAGAAGAGGTGATTTTTGGTGGAAAACAGTGGCCTGACACGGCCCGTGTCAGGACACATGGGACTTGGAAATTTCACGCGAAAAATGTGTCAAGAAGCCAACACGGCCGCCCGTGTTGTCTGACACGACCCGTGTTGGTTGAAACGCCTCATCACCTATTTTTCTTGTATTTTTGACACTTGTGATCCCTGAGGGTATTTTGGGCATTTCCCTGGTACTGAGTTTGAATGTAGACTATTTGATACGTGTTTTGAATAAGGAGAAGGAACTTTTGAACAGAAAAGAAATTTCACGATAAAGATTGGAGCGATCAAGGATTTGGGAACGGAAGATCCTCATGAGCGGAAGCGATTGGAGATCAAAGCAACCAATTCTCTTGTAATGTTGAATTTTATTGTTGAGTTTATTTTTATTATTATGAGTAGCTAAACCCTTCAATGCTAGGGGGTGTCCCTGAATTGACTCTGTAATAACCTTTGGTTTCTTGAATTATATATTTCACTGCTTTCTAATCATCGTTGTTATCGTATAATATTTTATGGCTTTTCTTATTTGACAAATGGGAATATGATTTACGGTTAACCTTAGGTTTGGAAGAACAAGTGTTAACGCGTGCATACGATAATACTATATTAGATATTGCCTAGGAATGGGGATACCCTATAGTAACCGTAATGTTTTAGATAAAATATATTGCTTGGTATTGTTCCTATACCGCCAAGGAATTGGGGCATAGGGAGAATACCAAAGGGTTTTCTGCTAAGGAATTAGAGTCAACTAATCTTTAAAATCGGTAACGATTGAATTGAGCAGCGATTTCTGAAAATTAAGGATTAAGGTTATTACAAGGTTTTTTCATACACCCTACCCTAGCATGCTTCTCATAACCGTTTAAAACCTTTATTTTACTACTTTTGCCTTTTGGCTTGATAATTCTAAAGAAACAAACCAAAACCCCTATGACTTTTTGTTCAATTGCAGTATTATAGCACTTGTGTTCATACGCAGTCCGCGAGATTGATATTTGGGGAATTTCCCCTTATTACTACATCGGTACAATTAGTACACTTGCTAATTTACCGGTCAGTTACCTATATTCTTTCTTGAAATGATCCTAGCTTCAATAACATGATTAGCCAACCTTGTAACTGTGAGCCTTGTACCATTGCATAAACCTTCCGATTGATCTAAGTTTCTCATCAACATAATAATGTCACCAATTTTCAACTTTATAGAATGATTAGGCAATCTAGAAGTTTTAAGAGCATTTAGAAATTCAGCAGTTAAGTGCTTAAATGCATCAAAGTCGATTGCTGTTGATCTATAAATTGAATCACTACTAAAGTATTCCTTTTCTTCTCCTAAAAGAAAAAAACAGACAAATGATTCAACAAATAAAAAATGAAGTCAAAAATGAAATTAGCATGAAAACAACTTCACGACATGTAGTACCTAGAAGAAGATCTGTGATATATTGATTAATCTCATCGACAACTTCAATTGTTGAAGCCAAGATAACACGTCTTTGTAAAAAATTGGGGTCATGGTAGTTACGAATGAGATCGAGATATGTACTATCAACAATAACCTTAATAGGATGTGAAAATTTTGAAATTAAAAACTCTTCAGGAATATTAATTTCAACGTAACCATCATTAGCCTCACCCATGGTACCATCTCCAATTGCTAAAATCTACTCAGAAAATATACGAACTTCTTCAATTTCTTTTGAAGTTGTCCCACTTTGTAGGCGCATATTTTTTGTAAGTTTGAGGACTTTGCAATGATCCCAAATATAAGAAGCATTGATAGTTGAATGAATAATATCAGATCTACTACCTCTTGGAACAATGGGAAGGATTTGTCTAAAATCACCACCAAAAATAACTACTTTGCCTCCAAATAATTTATTTGCAGCCTGTGGAATTTCACTCATAATGTCTCTCAAGGATTTATCAAGAGCCTCAAAGCAAAATCTATTAGCCATCGGAGCCTCATCCCATATAATAAGGTGTGTTATGTTTAAAAGCTCAGCAAAATCATCTTTTTTGTCAATGTTGCAAATTGATGAATGCAAAGTAGGGACAAGTATCTTAAACCTAGAATGTGTTGTTCTTCCACCTGGTAACAACAGACTTGCAATTCCACTTGATGCCACAGGCAATACAATTTTATGTTTAGAACGAATAGCAGCAGCGAGAGTGTTCCACATAAATGTTTTATCTGTTCCACCATAGCCATATAAAAAAAACACACCACCATTTTGTCGTTCTACGACATCCATGACATCAAAGTAAATGTGTTTCTGCTCATCTGTAAAAAAACGTCATGTGACAACATGTTTCAAAATGAGAATTTAAAGCTTTATTAGGCATTGACTACAGTAAATCCCATTGAGGGAATCAACTATAAATAATATAAGTTATAAACAAGAAGTATTGTATTTATCAATATAATAGTTCTAAACATGAAATAAGTTGGAAAAATATATAGTTTACGAATGTAATTTTACTTGTAAGAGATGAGAAGAAAGTATCAAAAATAATTTTTTGAGCACTTGAATCATATTGCCTTTCTTCATAAATCAGACGGTTTCCAAGAAAAGAAAGTACAAAGTCATTTGGATATGGCATTGACTTGAAATCTTTCAGACTTCTATTGTTCTTTTGTAAATGAGTTTCTATTTCAATCAGAGTAAGTTGTTTTAATTCTTCATCGATAAGTGTTAATCCTAATGAAGATAAAACAATACAGTGTCAATATAACAGTTAACTTGTGAATAAAAGTAAGAAATTGAAATGCATATAGGGTGTACCTGGATTTCTTGTTATGACACGTTTACTGTAAAGAATACCATCAACTAAGTAGTGCCATGTTTGATTCCAAACATGCTCAGGTCTATTCATTGATGAAGATAGCAACATCGTCACAAATAAATTTCTTAGAAATAAACCATAACCCCACTGATGCGCCTCCTTTAAAGCCTCTATAAATTCTCTATCATCTTGTAGAAATCCCATTGCAAAACATGCTTCTCTAAAAGAGTTATGTTGTGAACCATCAACCTTTTTGATGTCTTCATAACTTGTTGGTCCTTTCCTAAGAGTAAGCATCATTCGTAAATAAACTAATTCACCTGTGCTTTGAGGAACCCAAATGAGACGACCAATTGTATACCCTTTTTTTCTAGGCTTCCAAGTCCTAGTTTTCTTTTGGTAAACAAATTTTGTCACAAAATCACTATATGTCAACAACTTAGCTTCATCATATATTTTGTTCGCTTCAAACCATGCAGTACACATAGATTCTATAACACTTGGTTTGAGTAGAACATTACCAATTTTCTCAAAGTCTTTGTAGTAAACAGAATTCTCACCTTCCATGTGAAAAAATAGTCTTTCCACGGCGGTTTCCTACCATGTATAGGATAAGAGAAAATCCTCCAACATGCCTCACTCGGGGAAATGTATCTACAATCAAGATATTGCTTGATCTCATCAACATTATTCTTCTTACCATCAGACATATCACCAGAAGAATGAATAACAGCAGAAATTCTATCTGAACCCTTGTTAATTTACTTGAATAAGTATTTAATCAAAGTGCTTTGGTTGCACCATTCCATGTTGATGTGCGCCTCATACTTCAACAATAAACTTGGGTTGTGAGGAACTACATGTCCGCTGTGAAGAATGATTCCATTTTTATCGATTGTGTTTCCATTGTCTCCTCTCCTATAAAGTGGATAGCCATCTTGATCAACTATGGTTGTTGACTGAAATTTTTTTGGGTAATACTTTGAACATTTCCCATCTTTCATGCAAGGTGAACTTTTATTTGCCAATCCACAAGGTCCATGAACCATATGAGTTTTAACCAAGTTGTATAGCTTTGGTTCCTTCGTAGGATCAGGGATTTCAGCACTTATAATCCTGTCAATATCTTCGGGTCTTGGATATTTGTTAGAAGGATGCAAGAATATCAATATATGTGCATGTGGCAACCCTCTCTTTTGAAACTCAATGGTGTGCATATCTACAAAAAAATAAATTAGTAAAAAGTAAATTGTAATATTGTGTAACAAATTGAAAAGTTACGGTGAGAAAAGAAAACATACATGCAAGCACCTTGCCTAACGCTCCCCTTTTTGTCAAATCTGATAGAAGCTGATCAAACTTGATTTTAAATATCCTCGAAATCACATCAGGATGATCTTGGGGTTTTAGTCCAAGAGGCCTAAGTAATCTTTGTATTTCAGGCCAATTTGGATTGCAAGTGAATGTTACAAATAAATCAGGAAACCCTACCTTGCTACAAATAGCCATTCCATCATAGTACAATTGATCTATAAACCTCCTTCCACCAACATAAGTAGAAGGCAAAACCACTCCTTTTCCTATTGAAGAACCATGTGTTTCACTTTGTTCACCCACTTCAGTAAGACTGTTGTATTTTGACACCCTTAATTTGGGTTGATTTTCACGAATCCATTGAAGTATTTCGGACTCTAACATTGTGTAACCATCAACTAAGAATTGTTGAAAAAGCCTTCTTGAAGACAACAAAGTTTTAGCCTCAAATGATCTATTCTGAATGCGAAATGCTAGCCACTCTCTAATTGTAAGTCTATTTCTCTTGTTGTCTTGTAATATGTCTAAGTCTCGATGAGCTATGTTTGGTCTATAACCATCTTCTCCATAAGGGAAAATTAAAGGATATTGATACGCCAAGTAACTTGCATGAAGCTCGTTAATTCTTTGTAACTCTCCACCTTTAGTTTGCATGGTGATATCCCTCATTTCTGTTGTATCAAGATCACCAACTATCAAAGCAGCAACTTCAGAAATAGTAGGTTGATTACATACTCTTCCATCTATGGATCTATTAGAAATGAGTCTTAATTTTAGGTTTTGTGTATTTGAATTCAATAACCAATGTTTGGCCATCTGAAAACTTTTGGCATTAGGGTTATGCTCGTAGAGCATATCTGACAACTTTTGTACAATTACCGGATCAATGTTTTTTTTGTTCCTGTAAATGTAAATGTTTTATTATATCAAACATAATATAGAGTAGTCTGAAAGGAATAAATTGCAACATATGAAGTGTATAATTTATGGTAAGAAAGTAATGTATGTGAAATAGTTATACCTTAAACCCTGCATGTTGTACTCGAAAATTTGACCAACCTTTTCTTTAGCTGGCTTTTGTTTCATTGCATGGTTATAACATTTGCATTGCATCGCATAGCATTTATTTTGATAGGGGATCAACGCAACCCCGTGACTCAAGTTCCATTTTAGGGGCACAACAATGAACGACGAGTGTCAGAGACCCCGACATTTATTTTGCCCTAGGGGTCGGGCGACTGTTTCCCATTTTTGTTTTGCAGGTACAGAAGCAGCATTCGGGCTACATTCAGCACTCTCATGATCATAGCTTCAAGAAAAGACTTTCAGGGGTTGAGCAGAGCCCCAAACGGCAAGAAGCGGGCAAACGGGCAAGTTTCCCACCGAAAGGCGCCAAAAGTCAAAATTCACAAGCGTTAATCGGTTAACGCATATGGTTAACCGATTAACCACTTGAAAAACAGCCCAGATTCAAAAATTCAACAGTGTTAATCGGTTAACGCATATGGTTAACCAATTAACCAAAGAAGATTTTGCCTTGCACGTGAAGTTTCAAGCAAATTGCACTTAGGGGCCCATTTTGATCATTTGAAATTCAAATTTTATAGGAGGGAAGGATCCATAACCTTGTGATTTTCATAATTCCTCCCAAAAGCCCAATCCATATTCCAAACCTAACTTTCCAACCCTACTTGCTTTGGATCCAACCCTAAGTAGTATTTAAAGGGTTTCATTCCAAACCACACAATCCTAATCCTCATAATCCACTTTTCAGAACTCACGCTCTGAAAATTCCCAACTCTCTCCATTTCCCAAACCCCTCACTCAAAGCTCTCCATCCTTTGAGATCATCGATTCTTCATCGAAATCCTTGATCTTTCGAGCTGTAACCTTCATCCGTAATCGTCATCGGATCCGCTTCTTAGAGGGCGAAATCGGCTTGGATCTCGAAGTTCTTCAGGGTTTCTTGCTTGGGTCTATACATCCGAGGCGAATCAACAATCACCGAATCAATTCTCCGATCCGAAGGTTGGAACCTTAAACCTGTTGTAATTCTGAGCTTGTTTGCATTATGTAGTAACATTCATATTTTGATTTGTGGTTGATTTGATCCATTTGATTTGTATCTTGTTGTTTAAATATGTTTACATGTCCATTAGATCACTGGTTTATGGTTTAATTTCGTGTATAATTAATCATGAGATCATATGGATGTTTGCTTAAGTGATAAGTGCTGAAAAAGTGCTTTTTTCTGCTGTTTTTCGCCTCTGGAACAGTGTTAATCGGTTAACCTATATGGTTAATCGATTAACCAACACAAACTTTCAAATTTTCAAGCATTTTTCAATAGTTAATCGATTAACCCTTGGCGTTAATCGATTAACACTGTAACAATGGGCCTGTTTTGCTGTTTTTCATGATTGTTTTGGTATCGTTTCACTTCGAATCTTCATGGATCGTTATGATGCATTAGGAGTGAAATATTTTGTATATATGTCACTGGTCTTGATTGTTTAATCATGATTTGATCGACACGTGCTCGTCGGTTTCTGTTCAGGTGCACACTTATGTGTTGTCGTTCAAAGTGGTGCATTTTTGTTTTCTTTATTTGCTTTGTTGTTGTGCTTGGGCATACTTTTCCCATATTCCCTGTTGTCCTATGACCTTAGAGTGTCATTTAAGGTGGTTTGGTCCCTCCTTAGGAGGAACTTGAAGCTTGCCTAAAGTGATGAATCCTTGAGTACTTTCCTTCGTGTCGTGCCTATTTTCTTTTACCCAATATTGGTGATGCTTATGGTCGAGCGCATAATATGAGTACCTTGTTTTCCTCGTATAGCCTCCCATTCTCACTTTGGCTCAGGTTTATTTTTGGCATTTTCTTTTGACTTCGGTTTGTGACTTTGTGGTTGATGTCTGAGTGGTTTTGGCCATTTCATCCCACATTCTAATATTTTTGTACGCTTGCTTCAATGTATCTCTTTGCATTTCCCATATGCACGCTTGAGGTCGAGATGTGCTTGTGGAGGCTACTGCCACACACTATTTTCCTCCCTCATTTTCATTTTATTTGTGCATTTTACGTTTGCATCTCTGCATTCGCATGTTTTCCTTCTCCTTTTCCCTTCCTTTGCCATGTCCCCTTAGGATTCTCATTTCCTTGTTTAAGGAATGATGATAGACATTAGGACTTAAACCATGCATGATAACATTAGGTAGATATTTCCCCTTTGCAATCCCAACTTTAGGAGCATATTGCATGATAACATTAAGGTTGAGTAGTTTCCCCTTAGAGTTTGTGTCTTCTCTTCTCATCTCAAAACTTCTTAAAATACTTAATAAAAGAATGACAAGTGTTGTACGCTACGAGCCTAAAGCTACTTGGGGAATGGTGATTGAGTGGTTACCTCTCAATTACCTAGAGTGTTTAGTGTACATCCTTAGGATTCTATGTGACGCATTCGTTCCCAAGTCACAAGTCTTTAGTGCAACATGAGTTACCAACGAAAAGCTAAAAAACACTTCTTCTTAAAAAACACAAACAAACTTCAAACCTTTTTGTCCCTTTGGGACCCTTAATTCAGGAAAACCTTTTCATAAACAAGAGTGTGGTTAACTCTTAGTTCTATCGCAAACGGTAACGCCTAAGTCTCCAAAGGTCGAGCTGCATACACCAAACTGTTAGAACTGTCTGTTAACCTTACTCGGTTAAAACACTTAAACCAACCTGTGGTCGTGTCAGCCCGAACTACGTTTGCTCTGATTTCTCGTACCAGACGAGGATACGTAGGCATAAG